CCTATCAGGAGTTTTAGGCGGGAGTACAACAACATTGATCACGGAGGAGCCCATGTTAGTGCCATCATTCGAACTCGCAAACAATGCAAACACAAAGGGAAAGGACAATAAGATAGGTCGGGACCCCGCGAAGGATGCCCGATTTGCCTATGTTTGAGCATTTGTTTTTCGGAACGACAGGAATATTATAACTAGAACACATAATTAAATCTAGAACTCGGCCAAAAGTCGAATCTAGTGAGAGGACACCCCGAAGGGGGCCTAAACACCACAAAACACACAAGATAATAACTATCTCCCAACAGGAGAACCTAGATTCCAAAAGGATAAAAAAAAGAGAGAATGAAGAGCAAACAATCGGAAAAGTTAAGGGCCAATGATATTATATCAGGTGGGGGACGCCGTCGTGTACAAGGAGTTGAAAAATAAAGGGATCATCACATATCCAAGACTAATTCGAGCCAACAAAGATCAGTTCAACAAGTCACGATACTATGCATATCACAAATCCCACGGTCACAACACAGATAAATGTCGCAACCTCATATCAGAATTGTTGAAACTCATTGGAAATTGGAAATCCATAAGCTAGGATTAACGCGAAACCCCGAAGGAAGAAAAGAACCTGAATTGAAGACATTTCTAATAGCGAGGATGATATGGTACCCAATGTGAATCTAAAGAAAATGAGAGATCCACCCAGAGAAATCTTAACTTTAAGTCTGGTACAACAAGATGAAGCAAGTTTTTCTCAGACTAAAGAGCCTAGCCGTGACTTTGAGCATTAGACAGACCAAAAGAACGACCCAATCACACTCAAGAGATCATCCCCAATCAGCCTCGTGAATACTAGTCGTGGAAAGCCAGTCGTCTCCCGAAGACAGGCAAATGCATAAACTAGACGTGCATATAATGCCAGATAGTAGGCACAGAATGCCGAATTCAGCCAACAACCATCTCTCAAACAAACCCAGTCACTTACTCAGATGAAGACGTTGTGTCGTTTGATCGTCCCCATTCGAATGGTCTCGTGATTACAACACCGATCTTTTATATTTCGGTGCACAGAATTCTGGTGGATATTGGGGCCTATGTGAGTGTCCTGTACTTGAATACTTTTCAGAAAATGGGGATTGACCTTAAAGAAATTCGTCCATGCAACGACCGCATTCAAGGGTTTGATGGTAGAACTACGACCCCTGAGGGAGAAATAACTCTGCCCATTCAACTCGGAGGATATGGCCCGACCAACAAGACAATTATGGAAACCTTCAAGATTGTGAATCATGAAAATGAGTATGATGCCATCATTGGAAGAACGGCCCCGTATAAACTCTGAGCTGCAGTGTCCATCTTTCACCACTCCCTTAAGTTCCCGACCTCAGAAGGACATAGATTCATCATGGAGACGAACGAGAAGCTCAATAATGTAATATGGCAGTACACACAATTGGAAACCCGAAAGTCACAGAGTCGCCTTAGGAAGAAAATAACGAGGAACTGTCGCCATCCGAACAAACATTGCCTAAACATACCTTGTAGGAAGTCCTGATGACTGACCCCCAACAAGAGGGTCAAATAGTTTTAGATCTGCAACATCCTAGATCTGCAAAATGATAAATATAAATTTTTCGTTTTCTAAACAATTTAACATACCTAAATTAGAGATCTGGGCACGAGACTTAAGATCCAACAACTGAATCAAAATTATTCTAAACCGAAAAATAGGCGTCTGTTTCACTTTTTCTCAACCGAATCGAACAAAAAAAAAAGTAATTAGTACAGTTTAGTAGATTCAGAAATATCCGTAACGTGAACTCTCATATCGTAACAAATCGAAGAATCGAAATCAAAATTCAAACTATAACTTTATACGTGTCTTGTCCTTTGTTTTTATGTCAATTTTATTCCTAGATTATTTGAATAATTTTTCACTATACTTATAAACATCTATTATAAGTTTAATTGTATATTTATTGTTATTCTTCTTACCCAACTATTTATAATTAGAAAAAAAATGGAAAAAAAAAAGAGGCGCTCCTTTATCCTGCGGTCCTGCCCCTCCCCTGCTCGGCTGCTCCCCTGCCAAATACTGGAAAATAAATTGAGGTCTGTGTAATGGAGTTCACATGAATCGTAGCAGCTAACTCTCATCATTTTTGCGTGCAGTGATCCCTTTTACCTCTCGATTCCTTTTTCTTGTTTAATCGTTTCACATAGATTCAGTAGTTAGCAGATCCCTGATGTTTGAACTCCTTTCAGGGCGTTGACTTGTTTTCATTTGCTTTTAATTTGAATATCTTTGTACTAGAGTGATTTGGGTTTGCTTGTAATGATAGATTCATTGAGCAAGTTTGATCAATGTACCTGTTAAAGTTGGCAATCTCCATGTTCTGATAAACCTTCATCTCTCATGTCACTTTATCTTTGTTATTGATTCTTTATTTTTGCTACAGGGTCATTGTTATGTGTATTTGCCTTCCATTTTTAGTTTGAAGTTTTGATATCTTTGATTTTGATGGATGGGATTTTAGTTGTGTGGTTAGTTTCATTATTTCTTGTTTATTTCAGATCCTCTGGAATTTTTAAGATGTTATATATGTTTCATCACGGTGGAGTTTTACTTTAGTTGTTCTTGGGGATGACCGAGGATGGCGATAAAAATGGCGACGAACATTTTATTGGTTGGATAAAAAAAAAAAATCAACTGTGGAAATGCCGAAATAAAAATCAACTGCGAGATCGCCGCCGAGCTCGGGCTGAGGACTGGGATTTGGGATCTAGGCTTGATCTTGCGGGTCGGTTGTGGGCGGTTGGTGGCATGGGTCTTCGGGTCTTGGGTATCCATCTGGGCGCGGGTTGGGTTTGTTGGTGGTTTGGACCAGTTAGGCGTTTAGTTTGCAGTTTCTGGTTCGATCTCCGAGGCCGTATCCATGTCCGTATGGATGGATGTTTGGTGGGCTGCCGTGAGATGACTTGGTGTGGTTGTCTGCTATGGGCAGAGTGGTGTTGTAGTTTTTTTTTTTTTTTTTT